GGCTCGTGGCATACCCGCTCGCGCTCTTCTACGTCGGCTTTGGTATCATGGGCATCTTCAGCTCGAGAGGCAGCGGGGCGCTGATCAAGGCTGCTGCTGGGGTGAAGGCGTGAGTTCAGAAAGGTGTGGGAGGGCTGCATATACAAAACCAAAGTTGCGGAATGAGGCGCAGATGCGGGAGCGGTGCCTTGCAACTCTAGTGGGGATGTTCAAAACGGGCGAGGGAGTCCAAAGGTGTCCAAAAGGAGTCATGGATGGATAGACAGAAGACAACAGCGTGAGGCATGTCAGCCATCAGAGGCTCAGCAGGCGAGACGCTTCATTCACGTCACTGTACAATAGCACAATCATGTTCAGACGAAGCCAGAATAAAAATTTGATAGTCCAATGCCCTGCCTCCCCCTTCCGGTGCTTGAAAATGCGTCAATGCTGAGTAGCCCTCGTGATACCTTCGAATGATAACAGTATCGAAAGTGTAGAAAAAGCGGGGCCATCCTAATATTACAATGAGACTTTTCTTCAGCCTCGCAAACAAGAGCGAGGCAGTGAGAATTTATCTCCCGCAGACCAAACAAACGGGGCTTCGATGAACTGAGTCGCCCTTGGTATCATGAAATGACTTCCTTGAGGCCGTTCATTATGTTCCCATCCGTTCCATGCCTTGCCGGAGCCCACTGCAGCTCTCATAAGAAGAAATGTCTATAAGCCCGTTCGCCGGACGACCAAAAATCCAAAATATTTCATGCGTTTGCGCAAAAAAAAAGACGCTCTTGCCAGAGGCGAGCAACAAGATATCGGAACCCTGGAAATATGTCCATGACTTGATCCTTGCGTCAAGTCCATCTGTTTCCCCTTCTATTGACGGCCCTCAAACTCATTCATTATGCGTGATCTGTTGGATCTGCAGTCGTCATGCGCTCGTTTCGATACGTGCCCCACAGAGTGAGGTTTCCCACGCTCCAATGCTCAGAAGACGGGCCTGAAGCCTCCGGTAGCTGGCTGGCCGTTCGAGGTGAAGACCATGCCGTTGGTCTTGGGGACATCGGCGACACCGCCAAGAACGGAGTACTGGCCTCCAGCGCCGGCAAAGATAATCTTCTTGTCCTTGACAGCACTATTGTCAATCGTTGTAGGAGTCTCGATGTCATCGGTTGTACCCTGGCCAGTCTGGTAGTTGGCGGAGAAGCCCCATGAGTGAGCAATGCCCTTGGAGTCAACGGCAATGTTGTTGTCAACACCAGCAGCGACGAACACGCAGTTCGCGACATCTGAGACTAGTTAGCAACATTCAACGCATGCAAATGGACTCACGTACCCTCAACGATGGTAGGCTTAGACAGGATGCGAGGGTTTTGGCTCTCATCCTTAATGACGTTCTCAGCATCAAGCTCCTCGATGGGAATGCCAACCTGGTGACCATCAAGACGACCCCAGGTCAGGAGCTGGCCCTTCTCTGTGCAGGCCAAAGAGTGATGCTCGCCGCCGGCAATGTGCTTAATCTTGTAGTCCTTGAGGGACTCGACAATGGTCGGGCGGAGAATGACAGCATCGTCCTCACCGGCACCGCTGGAGATACCAGTCTCGGCAAAGTTGTTCAGACCCCAGGCCCACACAACACCGTCCTTGTCCATGGCGAAGCTGTGGTAGGATCCGCAAGCAATGCGGTTGATGCGGTTCTTGGGAAGACCCATGCTCTGGGGGACCAGGGAGGCAAGCTTGTTGCGCTCAATGACGCGGCGACCGAGCTGATTCTGCTGACCGCAACCCCATGCGAGGACGGTGCCCTTGTTGTCCAGGGCAAGAATATGGTTAGAACCGGCAGCGAGAGCTGTGATATTCTTAAGAGAAGGAATGAACATGGGGGTCATCTGAATGCTGATCTTCTCGGTGAAACCAAGGATACCATCGCTCGACTGCTTGCGGTTAGCATGTTTGCAGTGTTCAAGAGGAGAGAAAACTTACTCTGAAGGTACCCCAGCCATAGACTCTGCCATCCTCAGTCAGCGCAAAGGTGGCGCTGTCACTAGCAACGACCTGGGTGAACTTGGCCTCGGGAGCGAAGTGGGTAGAGTCAACAGCAGTCGGCGTGCTCTCGCGGGGGTTGACACCGCTGTCCTCGTCATTCTCCTCATCTTCCTCGTCATCGACATCACGGACGCCGCCCTCCCAGGTGGTCTCGCGACCAAGAGCGCCCTGGTCGTTGACACCCCATGTCAGGATCTTGTTGTCCTTGGTAAGGGCGGCAGCATGCATGCCACCGCAGGCAATCTGAACGACACCAACATCCTTGGCATCGAGGAAGGGGTTCAGGCGGGGACGCTTGACATCAGTAACCTTCTTGGGCTTGTGCTTGCTGCCGAGACCGAGCTCGCCGGAGCTGCCCTCGCCAAAGACGTAGATGTCGAGGATCTGTGTGGGAGCAGAGTTGATCTTGGCGCCAATCTTATGGGGATGGGGCTTGGGAGCAGCAGTGGCGGTCTTCTTGGTGGCCTTCACGGGCTTGACAACCTCGGTCTCCTCATCAGACTTGGCAGACTCGGTGGCCTGACTGTCGACCTCAGTGGACTCGGCTTCCTTTGCCTTCTTGGCCGTGGGCTTCTCGTCCTCAGTCTCGTCGTCGCTGACCTTGCGCTTCTTAGCGGCGGGACCAGCCTTCGCCTTGGGTGCAGCGGTCTTCTTGGTATCTTCCTTCTTCGCGGCAGCTTTCTTGGGGGCGGCCTTCTTGGGGGCGGCCTTCTTGGTCTTGGACTCGTCATCCGTCTCAGCAGCCTTCTTCGCGGCAGCAGCGGTCTTCTTGGGCGCAGCAGCCTTCTTGGCGGGCTTGGTAGCTTTGGTTGTCTTTGCGTTGCTCAGCTTGCTATCGTCGGCGGACTCAGCGGCGGACTCCTCCTCGGGCTCCTCGTCCTCCTCGAGCTTGCGCTTCTTGGAGGCGGCAGTCGCGCCGTTGGTGGCAGCCGCCTTCTTCGCAGCGGGCTTCGCGGCAGGCTTCTCGGTCTTCTTGGCAGCAGCAGCCTTCTTCGTCGCGGCAGTGGTAGCAGCGGCCGTCTTCTTCGTGACGCCGCCCTTGGGCGCGACGCCCTTGTTGGTAGCAGCCTTGGGAGGCATTGTCCGGCAGGTGATGTCTGTGTTGGGTGGTTCGGAGAAGACGCGTATGAAATGTGTTAAAAACAGGAGGAAACGGGGTAAACAAGAGATGGCAATCGCTGGAACGGACGTCTGCGATGCGAATTGCCGTGTTTTGACGATGTTCTGGAAACAAAACAGACCAGAATCGGGAGGGATTGATGTATTGTGAAAAAGTGAAAGAGAAACAAAAAGGTGTTCCGAGGAAGGTGACGCGACCGGAGGAGCAGCTTTGTATTTTCTTGGGCCCAGGAATTCTTGCCAAAAGCAGGGGTGGCGCTTTGTGGCCCAAAGCCATCCATGGCCTGCGGCGGGTGGGCTCCAGAGTGCTCGGGTGCCCACCACAGGGTCCCAGTGTCCCTGTCCAGTGGTCCGGCGCGGCACCTTCGCAGTGCTTCTGGGCTGTTTTGTGCCGCGGTGGCCCGAGCTCCAGGGCCAATTGTGTCGAACTGCAGAGCTCTTTCCTTGGGAAGCTCCTGACCGCCCGTCTGCACCTGCCCGTTCCATGCGGCAGAAAAGTCGTTGCAAAATATTTTTAGTGGAGCTTCCGGTGAGTCGGGCAACGTTCGCATCGTCTGCCGATGACCACAAAATGACGATGAAAATCGAGTGGCCCCAGCTTTTTCTCCAAGCACATCTACATAGTCCTCACAGGTCGGAAAGTTGAATGAATGTTCAAGTGCCGTGGCGAGAACTGGTCGCTTCGCTCATGTCAGCAGCACCTGCAGCAGTGGTCTTATTTTACTAACACGACTTCGCCTCAGCTGCAATCTCGATAAATGAACTACCCGGCCGTCCATCCCAACGATCGATCTCGCTTGCCGCTCTTCAGCCGACGGGCATCAGGTCACCCTTCCAGCTGTCACTCCAGCTGTCACCTGGTTTCAGTGCTTCTATGAAACGTCGTCCCCCTTGGCTGGCGATCCGACTTGAATGAAGCTGCATCAGGCCTGGATGGCGTGTCATTCGGGCTGCATGCTGGTCGTATGCAGGTCGCCAGCCCGAGGAGCCTGAAGAGAGACCTCTGATGACAAAGAGCCCGGTTAGAACCATTGGGCCGCGCCAATTCTGTGGAATCCTGCAGCATATGTTCCATGCATATCAGTATCCCCAGAAACTTTATTCGTTGGTCTATCGTTGCCTGAGTGCCGTCCATCGTGGTTGGTTCTGTTTTTTTTGTTTTTTTTTTTAATTGGTCGTGGGCAGCCGCAAGACGTTGACTTTCCGAGCCCCTTATTGGTGACAGGGCCCCGAACGGTCCGGCGCCCCCGCGAAGCACCCACCAGTCCCGGTCCTGACCATCTCCGCAACAATCTCCCCCAGCATCATGTCGCTTTCTGCAATACATAAAGTCTTCATAACGATAACGATGAAGACGAGTGGGTCGATTGAAGCACAGACGGGACCCTGAATGCCCTGCCCTCCAGCGAGGCCGGATGCTATTTCCGACCAGCTGGTCCTTTAAGGCAGGCAAAGGCTCAAACGTACTTGTAGACGGGCCATTATCAAAGTCAAGCGGCTCAGTATCCCCGACCGTTGTTCCTGGTGCCTCGAATAGTTTGACAAGCTTGCTCTATCAAGAACAAAGTCAAAGGAGGTCCAAACGAGGACAGTAAATGTCATTTCGAACAATGAAGACCATTCGAATAATTCGAATGAGCACCATGCAATGTGTTCCGAAGAAAGTGATTCTTATTCGTTGTACTTGCTCCATGCCGATGCTGTTCTTAGCAGGCAGCTTCTCACACCCCAACGCCGCCATTTTGCATGTCACTCAGAAACCGCCCATGCCGAGTCCTGCCCGCCCTCAATTCCCAACTCAACGCCAGTCCGAAAATGCATGAAACGCCACAAATGCATAATGTCTCAAAGCCCGCTTAGCGACGAGTGGTGAAGTCAATCTCGTGCTCGCTGGGGTTGAACGAGCCATCAGAGGCCTTGTCACACGTGCAGGCGTCTGCCACATCGTCAGCAAACATGATCCAGAAGTGATGCGGCGGAGGAGAACTACATACCGGCAGGTCTGACACCGCAGGAGCAAGTTGCGCCGGCAGGCTTGACGTTCTCGGTGCCGGCGCGGTCGCAGGTGCACTCGCCGGCGGGGCGGGCGCGGCACGAGCAGCGGGGTCCGGAGACGGCGTTCTCGGTAGAGGCCTTGCTGCAGGAGCAGTGGAGGGCGGACTCCTTTCCGCATGAGCACTTGGCTTGCTGGGCTGGAAGGTCGAATCAAGGTCAGCTTTGTTGGTTCTGGCGGCGGGGGTGGGCATGTGTGGAGGGGACCATGGCGTGGGGAAGGGAAACGTGGGAGGGAACGTACCGCAGACGCACTCGGCGCTCTTGCCGCAGCAGGTGGTGGCCTTGTCGACGGTCATTTTGGTGGTGTTTGTTGGAGTGAAGTTGGTGGAAATTTCAGTTGTTTGTTGTGTCGTGAGACGAAAGGTAATTGAGCTGGATGTGGTGGTGTGAAGTAGAGCTTGAGTGATGACTGATGCCTTGGGGTATTACTCTCATGAAGACGGTCGAGAAAAGGGTCCTTTTAAGCAAGTGCTGCTGCAGGGAAGGAGCGGCCGAGAACCGACGTCACGGTTCATGGATGACAGCGCGGACGGCCCCTGCCTGCGGTCATCAACTCGCCCGCTATTGGCTGTAGATCTTTTCGACCAATGAAAGGCTTTCAATTTCTAAGATGGAGGCGGGTTTCGGGTCGGCCCATTTTTCGTGGCCTGTCAGCCCATCTGCAATTGCATGACAACTGCGCGAGTAATGAAGAATTGCCGATGTGTCTTGGGATGACCGTGGCCTAGACTTTGGATTGTGGTTCCATCTGTCCATTTAAGGACGACCAGAGTTGGTCAGCAACCAACAAGTTGCTGACCTTCTTCAATTGCTATGCATCTTCCACTTGGTGTAGGGCTTGTCCATCAGATGAATTGACAACAAACACACCCCAGCATTTGGCATAGCAGCATGACTGGATGATTGGCTCCCGTACTGATCCTTAGCAACCAAGTACGCAATCCGGTACGCATCTCGTTGAAATTAACCAGCCACATCTTTCATCGACCAGAAGGCAGAAGCTAGACTAACCCAAATTCAAATCACAAGTTCCCTTCTCTTTTGAGAATCTAGCTCTATCCAACTACACCTTTTAAGCCATGACACCCCGCTAAGCGCGAAAAACTTCAAGTCATTGGAGTTGGACCATCCCGCTCATCGCCATGATAGTATCCTCCCCAGTAGACTTATGACCAATCAAATGTATCTTCAATGCTCTGATTGAAATGGATTTTTCATCTGGATAAAGACTAGATAGACGCAAACCAGTAATGAAGTCTTCGGTTTCCATGAAACTGGTGCGTCTTGTCCTCGGTTTTATTGTAAAAAGCACGAAATCTAGGTAAGCCTTTCATCCCTAGACTTGGGGAGACCGCTCGATGTCGGGGTTCTCACAAATATCACTAGGGTCATCTGGCCACACGACATCGTCAATTGTCCATGAGCTGTTGTGAGAATTAAAGCACTTTGCCCGCATGGTATCACACGATGTACAACAGACAAGTATATTGAACCGACGGCTGCAGAAGTAGCTGAAATCTAGATGCTGCACGACCAACACTACAAATCAATGTCAGATTCGACACTACAGTTCCGACCAAGAACAGCCACTTGCGGGTACGGGCACAGGATGCGGTCTGTCTCGGTCCCCTTCAGATCTGTGACCTTTACCGGGGTTTGGTCTGGTGCCGTTCCGTTCTCGACCCACGCACGCAGCTGGTCGAATAGACCAACCGGGTTTCCGCTCGCTCCCCCGGCGCAGTGGCCCATGCCTGGCACCTCAAAGTGACGGTAGAAATCATGGACCTCTGGAGTGAGTGCCGAGACTTTATTGTAGTACTTGGTAGTGCCCTTCGAAGGGAGGAGCTCGTCGATCTGCGAGACTGTTAGTATGTGCACAGCGAGCACGCCTTCAAGAAACGAAGACTCACCAGGCCGTGGAAAGTGACAATCTTGCCGCCAGATTCACGAAAAGCAGTCAAGTCAGGATCGTCGGTGCCGATGATGGAATTGTATCGCTGGCGGCCCCGGTGCGCCAACCAGTCGAACTCCGCATGACTCATATTAGACAGTTCCAGCTCCGCGCCCCTCGCCACGAAGAGAGACAACCACTGCGTTGCAATGGCCAGCGGAACCCCCACACAAGATGACCCCGTGCAATTGGTCACCGCAACGCCGGCCGTGATATCGGTGCCCGGGTTGAGGCCAAACCACGTCTGTTTCCCCTGTGCGTCCCGCAAGCCCTGCCACGTCGCATTCACGACAGCCGCTGCCGCCGAGCTGACGGTAGCTGATTCGGAGCAGTTGATAGCCCTACCCACCAGCTTGAACGGATCGAAACTGCTCAGACACCCGTCGACGTTGTTGATGATTCCGTCCTCGAGGCCGTCCAGCCCATCGCAGGCCGAAACTGCGGCTGCCGTGATCGCCTGCAGCTCGCAGGGCGCAGGGTACTCACCGAGCATGTTCATGAACTGCTGCGGCCACAACAGACTGGGGAAGAAATCGGTCCACTGGATCCCAGGAGCTCCCGCCGCGATGCCGTCGTACTGCGTCGGGTATCTCTGCGCTAGCATGAGTCCCTGTCGGCCGCCTTGCGAGCAGCCGTTCCAGTAAGAGTAGTCCGGTCCGCGCCCGTAGAACGACTTGATGAGTAACTTTCCAATGATGGCCTAAAGCAGCGGTGAGCTAGACTCCTAAGCCCAAAACATTACAATGTATCTACCTCATCGTCCAGCGACACCGACGCAAGATTCTGCAAAGCGTACAGATTCACGTTGCCTGGGCTGAGAAGAGCCCAGGGGCTGGCATCCTCGGCATTGCCAAGCCCGGCATCCGTCGTGATGGTCGCGTAGCCGTCCCACACCGCGCCGCTCATGGCAGTGTAGAAGGGGGCAGAACGGCCGGCGACCCATCCACCGCCTCCAACGGCTTGAAGACGCCCATTCCATCCAGCTGCCGGGAGCCAAGCCTCCACTACGATGCTGTCGTCCTGTCCAGGGTGCGTATAAGCTACCGTGACGTTGCAGAAGCTGGCGTTGTTCACTTCGACTGACGGCTGGGTAAACCGTACCGCTGAAGGGACCGAGGCGCTGTGGTTGGTGACGAGGTTTGCCTGCACGGAGAGTATGTCGGCTCCAAATAAGGCGATGTCGCCGAAGGTCGCCAATGAACATGCTTGAACCGACATGATGGCAAGATAACAGACAGTTCACGAGGCACAACATAAAATGATGGTGCTTTGCACTGGCAATCCAGGCTTCGTATTCAGTATAAGTACCTCTTGTATACTTCATACTCTCGTTTTTTTTTTTTTTTTTACCATTACAGGAAGAAATGGGCTGGGGCGGAATTGGTAGGAAGACAGCAGCGGCTCTGCGGATGTTGTGAGGTAGTTTGCGCACATTCTGGCCATTCCCAGCTAGCGTTCACAAGCAATCTTGCAGGGTCTTTATTGTGGCGTTTCGATGCCTAGAGCCTAAAGCGTAAGCGACATGTATTAAGCCCCTTGCATCGTCAAACTGATACCGGCAGGGGGGGAAGCAAACTGGCGGAAGCAGACTCGCGAGACGGATCGGGGCTCGGTGCTGTGATGTCCGCACCATCTCATAAAACGCGCAGAAGCTTTTGTACTTGACAGATTCTAAATAGCTCTTGACTTTCTGACTTCTACGAGAAGGGCTATGGCTGCTAATTGCTTGCCATATAGGAGTCCCTTGGTTCAGTCTCGCAGCGCGACTCGCCTTTTTCTACTCTGTCTCTACTTGAAAAGAATATGGTACTATGGAACGTTTGATAGAACAGGCAATTGAGTACGTGCTGTAAATGTTCGAAACCTACAGCTAATCCACCCTTTTCTACAAGCGCCAAATAGGAAGGGAAAGTTGTGCTATCTCAACAGCTTCAAGAAAGAAGCCTAAGGGAATGATGAAGGGATCATTGAGAACAAACTCATGTGCTCCAGCACAGGGTCAGCGCGGGTTATTTTGGGACGTCAAAACGTCACCGAATGCGGCGATACTGCTCGTTGTGGGTAGTATGATGTAAATGATGAGAGCAGACATTATGAAGTTCGTACGTCGTCATAGAGCCACGCATCAAATGTGATAGGCAGTAGAGCAAAGGGAGAAATATGAGTTGCGATGACACTACTGCGGTTGAAAATGGGCGTTTTGAGGCCCTTGCGCTGGTGTTCTAATCAAGACCCAGCTTGTATCCAAGATCTTCATCAAGAAATGCGATTGACACCGAGGGCGATGTAAACCTCTCCATATGAAGCTCCTGACAACCTCCCAAGTTAACCTAGGAACGAGATTGGAAACTCCAGCGTCGGATGGCCAGGAAACTCACTGAAGGCCTCCGACGGAAAGTCCACGTCGAAGTTGTTCTGTTCCGGTATCCCGGGATCAACACGCCTGAATCAGTATTCAGCATCGTGGAAGGCCTAAGAAGTTAAGAACGAAGGCTCTTCATCTGCTCCATGATGACTTTGGGAGCCTCCACAGTGGACAAAGTTGCCGGAGAGTTTTGATGAATACGTGTACGGACATTATTCATCAAATTCGGCCACTCTCTAGATGAACGGTGCCTTGGGCCGCGCGATCATGGGCGTCCATCATGGGCGTCCATCATGGGCCTCGAAAATTCGAGACTCAGGATAATGTACTGACATCGCGGATTGGAAAATCGGAGATTGGTACTGGTCTGCGGCGAGGGGCGGATCCCGTTTCTGGTAATGGTGAGCAATGGCACACTGAACTGAGACCAGATCTGTGGTATTTGAGATTACGGAGATGCACTCAAATCGAGCGATGGGCACCCGTGACAGGCAGCATCGTGGAGCATCACCAGCCCAATTCACGAAGTGGGTATAAAATTGTAGCAAGAATTTTCTTTCTGTAGACTTCTGGACGAACGAAATGTAACAGGTCTACTGCTGTGCCGTTAGAGGCGTACTTTCTGAGCTTCTACGTTGGCTGGACGGCCAAGGACGTTCTCCTTCATCCGTAGTGTCTGCAGACTACATAGCTTAGGCTCTTGCGAGGCATTCGGGCGGGATACATCATGGACAGCGTCAGCGGAAGACGGAAGCATCGTCAAAGCTGCAGACGCACATTTCTTGGTCCCTATTGGACGCCTGCGAGATGGAGCACGGGTATGGCTGAATGTACTTGGGAAGAGGAGCCTCGAACCAGTCACACCATCGTCATCTACATCGCTTGCCAAATCACACAAAGGCCTTTCAGGAACTCGGGGCGTTTCTCCCAGATCACGTGAGATCTTCCGCAGTAACAGTATGCCAAACTGCCGCCGTCTGCTGCCGTATAGGAATGGTCTTCGGGGAGGATGACATCGAGCTTGTCCGTCTTTCCCCCCTCGCGCTGGCGGGATCAAAGCTTGATCTCTCTTGAAACCTAGGATGACATCCTAGCGATTCATGCTTCAAATGTCCGGGTATTCACATCGCCCAACCGCAAAAAGCTTGCCTACAGCTGCACATTGGACATGGTGCCCTGCGTCTCTGACGCCTATCTCAGTATATTCCAGGAAGATTCATACGAGTCTGGCAGCTCTGCTGTAACGGCGTACCTATTCTGGCATCAGGGATTGCCCCGAATCCTACCGTGGAAGACACCAAGACCGTCAGACAGGAGCGGCCACCTCTTCGCATGGTGTGACAAACAGGAGATTTGCGGTCATTGTCTGTCTATCCATGTCCAGGGACTTATGAAGAGCTAAAAACGGATGACCCCCAAGTGCGATGCCTACCTTAATGGACATAAATTTTGAATTCAGAACAGTCGCTAGATTCACCCGTATATACCACCTCTCATCAACACTGCACGGAAAGAGCCCCGGATTGCGGTCTCCGGCGGGGTCCCGGACCCGATCCCGGAGGTGGGGCCATCTGAATGCCGGGCGCCGGCGGGAAGGTTGACCTCAAGGGACTCCGTTTCGGCGCGGTCCAGAACATCTCTTCAGAAGACTTAGTCAAAGGTATAAACCTACCCCGAAAAGATCAAAAACTTTCGCGCGATGACCCCAATCAAAGGCACGTCATCCCGACCCCCTCGGGCCTTCAAACCTAACAACAAAAACCTACAGCCAGATCCCCTGGGAGATGTTTTCGAATTCTGATAATCAAGTGATCATCGCTGTAAGCCAATAACTCCATCTAGTTCCAAAAAATTCGGATTTACTCGTCGCGCAACTCTCTGAAAGCACCCAGGACAGAGGGGCTACTTATCCGATGCAACTGTCCAGGGGCCATCCCCAACCCCTCACGTCGCACATATCCAGGCTCTCACCTGCCACGAGAAACGTCCGATGTCATAAACCTTCCGATCACTGCAACGACGGAGCTCTCAAGAATCCGAAAGCCCGGTTCACGACAGTTGGGCTGATTGGCCCCATTTCGTTTCGAGTGTTGCCGTTCGGTTACTCAGCGCCCTGCGATGGTGTTGCCAGTTGGAGCATGTCTGTCGTTGCGAAATTGGTGTCCAGCTGTCAGGTGCCACGGTGGTACATAGGTTACTGATTAGGAAAACATGAGATCATGCGCTCGAGCAATGAGGACTTAGAGGGGGTGGTCTCTGCGGAGGTGCATCATGAGCACATCTGTTGAGTTGGGACGATGCGTGCAAGATTGCGTGTTGCATTTGTATTACCAAGTCCTCGAAGGCCGGGTCGATGGTGCAGATGGTATGGGGCCCGCTCTTTGTCTTCTGGAGGACATTGCACGATGACCGAATCGGCCCCGAACAGAAGCTAAAACAGGAGTTACCCGAGAAAGAGCCGCGGATTACTTGTTTCTGAAGTGTCAGTTGTGGTGACCCTGTCAACTCGAGGCCTCGCTAGAACGAGTTTGCAGAAGAGAGTCGCAGATGGAAAAACTCTATCTTGAACGCGTGCCCTGCTGACAGAAGAAAGCAAAGAAACAGCATTGCTCCCTGCATCGGGTCGGGTTCGAAGACGGCAAACAGTTTTCGTTCGAACGATGACAAGTCGACTGTTCCTTTTTTCCTTTTTCGGCACGAAAGTCTGAACTTTGAAGGGCGACAGTCTGCCAGCGACGTGGGCCGCTCGGATAATGGCAACGGCGAGCGAATTGACGTCGTTCGCTCGGGTGGGATGAGGAGGTGGTGGTGGATGGTGGGAAGGATGCATAAGCTTAGAGTCGTGCGTGCTGCATGGCGCACCGGGTGTTAGGGCGAGTGAAGGCGAGCGAGTGACCACAGTGCACTTGTCGGTTGGCTTTCGCGTCCTTGTTTCGTGTCCTGGGTCGCGGCACTTGAAGCCGAGACGATTCGCGGAGTACTGTGCGGCGGCAGGCAATAAACTTGCAAGCAGCCAGCGGACAGGAGAGCAGAGGCGGAAGCAGCAGGCCATGCGCTGGCGTGCTGACCGCGATGCGCGCGATGCGTCACGCCGTTCCTCGGCTCGCCAGTATTAGCTGCGATGAGACGGACGGACTTTTTGTTAAGTTGTGCGGATGGGTGAATTTTAGCGGAGCTTGGCAATTTGACCACGACACAATGTCTTGCAGCGGACTGGGACTGCGACGTAAGCAATTCCTAATTTCTCATCAACAGGACTTTTGTCAGGAATGACGATAACGAGCGACGGCCGGCGGTGGTTTGTTTGGAGAATAGGAATGAAGATTAGGAATCGTCGCCGAGCCTTTCGGCCGATGAAGGCCGAGAGACACGGAAGACTGGAGGAGCTATCCGTTCACGGGTGACCTGCGGCGGGAGGGCGAGCGGGAAGGCGTGGCGGCAGGGGCTGTGATTAGCGGCCACGATGCGGAAGGTTGTCGGGGAAAAGTCCCCGACAGGGCGCCGGCCGTGACTCTCGAGTCGCGTCTTGTCTTGCGTGGCACAGCGCCGCCGTTGCTGCAATATGTACTACTCGTGGCCCCCGTCGTTGTAATCGTCTTCGTCGCACCGTCGCATGCAACGCAACCGCACCTCAACCGCAATGGCCCGCACATTCGCCTCGTTGATGTTGATCTTTCTGAAGCCTGGTCTTCTTGCAGTCGTCGGTGAGTCAGTCGGAAACGGGCTTGGCAATATAGCCAAAGTCCAGGGTTGCTCCGAGTGCTTGATAAGCCGTGATTAGCTTCAATGGACAGCAAACAAGGCGGCACGAGTGAGATTTTCGCTTTCGGAGTCAAGGCCCGGCGTTGCCAAGAGGTTGTGACCGCCGCGACGGCGGACGAACGACGAGGAAGAAGCTGCCGGTGCTGAGGAGCCTGATCCTGCTGCTCGGATTTTGGAACATGGGCCCCGCGGGGCGCGGTACCTACTGGACAATGCATGGTGCTCCACAGGGGACTTTCTCATTTTTTCCTCGTCCCTCCACTTGAATGTTTTTTTCTGCTCATGTCTTGCTGTCTGACGGGCGGACCTGCGTAGTGGCTTAGGTAAGGGGCAACGACAGACGGCGGAGAGCCCACCTGGAGCGCATCGCCATTCGCAATTCGCAGCGCAATCTCTCGCATGGGGGCCATGCTGCGTACCACAGGTACGTACCCGTGGATATATTACCCGCAAAGGGGAAAGGCGCTGGACCCTCTTATCAGATCTGCGGGCCGTTTGTGAGATGCCATTGGGAGGTGGAAGGCGGGCGGCGGAAGACATCCGGAGGAGAGCAAAGGTCGAGATATGCTTCTTTTAGCTGGTGGAGGAAGAGCGGGAGTTTGGCGGGAAGAATGCGGGAAGGGCAGATGGCGGAAACTTTGGTCTGTGGGCACGCACGCGGCGATTGCAGCAAGAGACGATAGCCACATCTGAAACCGTAAATTCAAGGAGCCTCGACCGGGATGCTGATGGCTGAAGTGCAGAGACATGTTGGAAGTTTGCCGTGTTGGAGGCGCGCAGAAGGTGGCTTGCTGATGGGAGACCCTCCAAACATTGGCAGCTGGCCTCTCTGATTGGCCACGATTTGCCGCTGAGTAAGCGGAGGTTCCCAAAGAGGAGGTCTCACAGCAGGACCCCACATCTGGCGGATGACTCGAAACCGATTGTGGTGCCCCACAAACCTGACAAGTCGCGATCTGGAAGGAGGTGATTGGGCAATGGTCAAACGTGCTTTCCAACGACGGAAGCCACGAAAGAAACCACGGCAGGCAAGGGTCACGTCCGGCAGCAGCGCCACCGCTACCTTAGGTGCCTTCCTGCGTAGGTACGGCATCCAGCCGGGCAGGGGCCGAAAGACGTGGAACTTCAATGGAAGGCGCAGGCATTCGAAGATTCAGTACCTATCCATCCTTCAGGGGTGGGGACTGTGACTTTGTTCAGTGTCTTGCAGCTCTGCAGACGAGAAGGCAGCGTCCGGCTCCCACCTCGCATCAGTTGGCAATGGCAATGGCGACTGGTCCTCTTCTCCACTCTTTTACCCATCCATTATCTTTTCTTTTTTTACGCCGTCTGCAGACAACACAACGTGCATCCCCCCTTGGGTTCCCTTGGCAGTATCGGTGGAGCAGCTACTGCACCCAACGGTGATTTGCTTTTTAGTGTTTGCGGTTTGCGACCGGAGTTAGGACAACGACGATGCCATTTCCATTGGCCTGGATACCTGCGTTGCAATTGTCGTATCTACACTTGATGCAGATTATCCCTACGGCAGTTCGCCCTCCACGTCTGCGGTCTGCGCCTGCACGGCAGGCTGCCAATTGACATCGGGACGTGTTCCGATCAAGAGATCTGCCAAATACATCCTTGACTGGCAGGTGATACGCCGCGCAGCGCCTGCTGTCAGATAACTAGTATCCGTACAGCAAGTATCTATGCTCCTCTGAGAACCGCACATCGCCAACTCAACTCTGATGAGTTGCCGTTCATCTTGGCTCCCGGAGCTGGCTATAGCCGCATCCGCCTCGCTGCGCACCTGCACTCTAAAAGCAGATGTACACTGACCTGCACACGAAGCAGCTGTCAGCAGCGATGCAGTTCTTTCCCGATGACGCCTCGGTAAGGTAGGCACACGGACAGCCAGCGCCCGATCGTCCTCTTCGTCCCATCTCATCCCATCGCTGACCGCCTTTCCCTCAAAACACCGGAACAACACCCTCTCTGTCACAATGTGGCTGCCATGCCGAACTTTCCCACCACACCTTTCCCACCACAGGCGCCCAGCACGCCGTCTGACTCCCACACTCCCAGCCGTCTGGTCTGTGACCGCAACAGTATCACGATGGCTCAAGATGGCTCATCGAGTACATGCACCACCCGTGGCACTCATCTCGCGCCAAGCCAAGAGAAGGATGATCCACATAGCCGTACCCCCACCTCTGCGTCTTGCCCCTAATTGGAAGAGTTCCCAAGTTCCTAAGCCGTACATGGCAACCGGGGGGTCGGCAGGTCGCCTGGGTCTCCCCGACATTTTATTAGCAGTGGGTCCCTCTCCGCCGCCCTCCACCTTGTCAGATGCAGTCGCATCTTTTGGAAGCCCTGGCAACTCGCACTCGAGGACCCAGAAAAAAAGTACATTGTGTACGAAGGGTGCAGGCCTTGGGTGCCCGGGCGGTGGTGCTTAGCAGCTCCAGATACGGTACCTACATATCCTTACTGCCAAAGCTCGGTAGACAGGTAACTCCTGTGAAGTTGTTCTACGCCCTACCGCCCAACGAGAGACACAGAGACACGGAGCTGGTGCTTTTCCTCACAACACAACCAGCTGCCGGGTACCCACCAACGGGCTTAAGACGCCCTACTTCCGGGCCCCGACTCCGGCTGAAATTGTCATTGATCCTTGATTGGTAATATTTTTGTTGTTTGGGGGGGTCCCGAAGTCGATCCGACAGAGACAGACCCAGACCCAGCGTTGCCCAGCCCAGCTAACCAGTCCAGCCCAGCACCAGCTCCAACCCGTCCAGCCTGTCGTCCCTAGTGCGGACACTTTATTTTTTCCCTTTCTCCTAAATTTTAGTCTGCTTTCTGCTCTCATAAGCTTCCACCTCCAGACCTCTCTTTCCTCCGTCATCTCGGTCTGCGTCTCGGGTCGACGGCGGTTGCTTGTTTGTTTCTAGCTCCTTTCCTCCGCCGAAAGACTCACACACTCCCTCAACAAAAGACCCATTGGGTACAACGATACTTCCACACCTCCAATTTTTCACTATTTCATATCAAACACCGTTCGTCCCTCGCTTTTCTCGATCATCCATCCCCACGGTACATCGACTCAGGCAAGGCACACTCCACCACATTCGTCTCACCGGCACGGACCAGCAACCGCCACTTTCCGGTCGCCTAGGATCGCCATCGTCACTCAATCCTCTATTTGAGTTCTCACCCACGCCGATTTTCAGAAACCCTTTCCTTTTCGATCCCACATACGAACTGCCTCGTAGTGAACCACGAACCCGATCGCGAACGCCACCTCATCCCAACGGTCCCAATGGCGGACCGGGATAACGAGAAGCACCAGGAGGCTGCCGCCGCTGGCAGCCCCAACGAGAAGATTAACACCAACACCGAGATTGCGCCTGCCCCGCGATCCTCGTCTTCAACCTCGACCGCCGCCGACGCTGAGCAGCAGAGGGAGGAGGCCCGCGCCAACAACCCCGATGGCTTCTCTGCCATCCACGGCGGCATTTCTGTGCATCAGGCCGAAGCCGACTTCGCAGAGCTCCAGCGCGAGCTGTCTGGCTTGTCGCGCGCAAGCAGAGTGAACAGTCGCAACAGCCGTAGGAAGTCCGAAGATGTCGAAAAGACCGTCGCAAACGTCAACTCAGCCACCCCGTCCTCCGACACCGACGGCGAGCAGTTTGACTTGGAAGCCGTCCTGCGCGGCGGCGTCGAGGCCGAGCGCGAGGCCGGTATTAGACCCAAGCACATTGGTGCTTACTGGGACGGGCTTACTGTAACGGGCATCGGCGGCACCACCAACTACGTCAAAACCTTCCCCGATGCCTTCGTCGATTTCTTCGACTATGTGACTCCTGTCATGAAGATGTTGGGCTTGGGTAAGAAGGGTGTGGAGGCTACTCTGCTGGACCACTTCAAGGGTGTTTGCAAGCCTGGGGAGATGGTCCTGGTGCTGGGTAAGCCTGGCTCAGGATGCACCACCTTCCTCAAGACCATTGCCAACCAGCGCGCCGGCTTCACCAGCGTTACTGGCGATGTTCGGTACGGACCTTTCACCGCCGATGAGTTCAAGAGGTATCGCGGTGAAGCTGTGTACAACCAGGAGGACGACATCCACCACTCTACTCTCACCGTCGAGCAGACGCTCGGCTTCGCCCTCGACACCAAGGTCCCCGCCAAGCGCCCCGCTGGCATGTCCAAGAACGACTTCAAGCAGCAGGTCATCACAACCCTCCTGAAGATGTTCAATATCGAGCACACCCGCCACACCGTCGTCGGTGACGCTTTCGTGAGAGGTGTGTCCGGTGGTGAGCGCAAGCGTGTATCCATCGCAGAGATGATGATCACCAACGCCTGCGTTCTGTCCTGGGACAACAGCACCCGCGGTCTCGACGCCTCCACTGCCCTCGACTTCGTCAAGTCTCTCCGCGTCCAGACGAACCTCTACCAGACAACCACCTTCGTCTCCCTGTACCAGGCCTCCGAGAACATCTACAACCTCTTCGATAAGGTCATGGTCATCGACGCCGGAAAGCAGGTCTACCTCGGCCCAGCGAAGGAAGCCCGCGCCTACTTTGAGGGTCTCGGCTTCGCCCCCCGCCCGAGACAGACGACCCCCGACTACGTGACCGGCTGCACCGACGAGTTCGAGCGCGAGTACGCTGCTGGCCGTTCCCCAGAGAACGCTCCCCACGACCCCGACTCCCTTGCTGAGGCTTTCAAGACGTCCAAGTTCCAGAAGCAGCTCGACAGCGAGATGGAGGAGTACAAGGCTCGTCTCGTCCAGGAGACCGAAAAGCACGAGGACTTCCAGGTTGCTGTTCGCGAGGCCAAGCGCGGCTCGTCCCACCGCTCCGTCTACGCCGTCGGCTTCCACCTCCAAGTTTGGGCCTTGATGAAGCGCCAGTTCGTTCTGAAGCTCCAAGATCGCCTCTCCCTGTCCCTCTCCTGGCTCCGCTCTATCGTCATCGCCATCGTCCTCGGTACCCTCTTCTTCCGTCTCGGCTCCACTTCTGCTAGCGCCTTCAGCAAGGGCGGTCTCATGTTCATCTCCCTCCTGTTCAACGCTTTCCAGGCCTTCTCGGAGTTGGCAGGTACAATGACAGGCCGCTCAATCGTCAATAAGCACAAAGCATACGCCTTTCATCGTCCGTCGGCTCTCTGGATTGCCCAGATCATCGTCGATCAGGCCTTCGCGGCGAGTCAAATCTTGGTTTTCTCGGTTATCGTCTATTTCATGTCCGGATTGGTTCGCGACGCCGGCGCCTTTTTCACGTTCTACCTCATGATTTTGTCTGGCAACATTGCCATGACTCTCTTCTTTCGAACGGTGGGGTGCATAAGTCCGGAAGTTTTGCCCTATTTCCCTTCATGATGCACAGCAGCTAACCTTCGCGCAGTGACTTCGATTATGCCATCAAGTCCGCCGTCGTCCTCATCACGTTCTTCGTCGTAACCTCTGGCTACCTCATCCAGTACCAGTCTGAGCACAAATGGCTCCGCTGGATCTACTGGGTCAACGCCCTGGGTCTTGCTTTCAGCGCCATGATGGAAAACGAGTTCTCGCGTTTGATGCTGACCTGCTCGGACGAATCTCTCATCCCCTCAGGACCGGGCTATACCGACATTAACCATCAAGTCTGCACGCTTCCGGGATCTGTTTCAGGCACGACCGCCGTCGATGGCTCCGCTTACATCGCCAGCGCTTTCTCCTACTTCAAGGGTGACCTTTGGCGCAACTGGGGCATCATCCTCGCCTTGATCGTCTTCTTCCTTATCATGAATGTCACTCTTGGCGAGTTGATCAACTTCGCAGGCGGCGGCAATAATGCGAAGGTATACCAGAAACCCAATGAGGAGCGCAAGAAGCTCAACGACGCGCTCATAGAGAAGAGGGCCGCTAAGCGTCGCGGCGACGGCACCGACCAAGGCTCCGATCTCACCATCAACTCCGTCAGCGTTCTCACCTGGGAGAACCTCAACTACGACGTCCCCGTTCCCGGCGGCACCCGCAGGCTCCTCAACAACATCTTCGGATACGTGAAGCCTGGCCAACTTACTGCTCTCATGGGTGCCTCCGGCGCCGGCAAGACGACCCTCCTCGATGTTCTCGCTTCCCGCAAGAACATTGGTGTTATCGGCGGTGACGTACTCGTTGACGGCGTGAAGCCCGGCAAGCAGTTCCAGCGCTCAACTTCCTACGCCGAGCAGCTCGATCTCCACGACCCTACTCAGACCGTCCGCGAAGCCCTCCGCTTCTCCGCTCTTCTGCGCCAGCCTTTCGAGACTCCCGAGGCTGAGCGCTTCGCTTACGTCGAGGAAATTATCGCCCTGCTCGAGATGGAGCACATTGCAGACTGCATCATCGGCACCCCTGAGTTCGGCCTTACCGTGGAGCAGCGCAAGCGGGTCACCATTGGTGTCGAGCTCGCTGCAAAGCCCGAACTCCTCCTTTTCCTCGACGAACCCACCTCCGGTCTTGACTCCCAGAGCGCCTTCAACATTGTCCGTTTCCTGAAGAAGCTCGCCGCCGCTGGCCAGGCTATCCTGTGCACTATCCACCAGCCGAACGCCGCACTCTTTGAGAACTTCGATCGTCTCCTGCTCCTTCAGCGCGGCGGCCGCACCGTTTACTTCGGTGACATCGGTCAGGATGCCGTCGTTCTCCGCGACTACCTGAAGCGCCACGGCGCCGAAGCCAAGCCTACGGACAACGTTGCCGAGTACATGCTTGAGGCTATCGGCGCTGGCTCCGCCCCGCGCGTGGGCAACCGCGACTGGGCCGACATCTGGGACGACAGTGCCGAGCTCGCTAACGTTAAGGACACGATTTCTCAGCTGAAGGAGCAGCGCATGGCCGCTGGCCGCACCGTCAGTGCCGACCTCGAGAAGGAGTACGCTTCCCCGCAGATGCACCAGCTCAAGGTCGTCGTCCGCCGCATGAACCTCTCCTTCTGGCGCAGCCCCAACTACCTCTTCACCCGCCTCTTCAACCACGTCATCGTCGCCCTCATCACCGGTCTGACCTACCTCAACCTCGACGACAGCCGCTCCTCGCTGCAGTACAAGGTCTTCGTCATGTTCCAGGTCACCGTCCTCCCGGCCCTCATCATCTCCCAGGTCGAGGTCATGTTCCACATCAAGCGCTCCCTCTTCTTCCGCGAGGCCTCCTCCAAGATGTACAACCCCATCACCTTCGCCAGCGCTATCACCATTGCCGAGCTGCCCTACTCCATCCTCTGCTCCGTCGCCTTCTTCCTGCCGCTCTACTTCATGCCCGGCTTCCAGTACACTCCCTCTCGCGCCGGCTACCAGTTCTTCATGATCCTGATCACCGAGCTCTTCTCCGTCTCCCTCGGCCAGGCCCTCGCCTCCCTCACCCCGTCGCCCTTCATCTCCTCCCAGTTCGACCCCTTCATCATGATCACCTTCGCCCTCTTCTGCGGTGTCACCATCCCCGCCCCGCAGATGCCCGGCTTTTGGCGCGCTTGGCTCTATCAGCTGGACCCCTTCACCCGCCTCATTGGCGGCATGGTCGTCACCGCTCTGCACGACCTGAAGGTCGCCTGCACCTCCGCCGAGTTCAACCCCTTCAAGGCTCCCGACGGCCAGACCTGCGGAGAGTACATGCAGCCCTTCTTCGAGCGCGGCGGACCTGGGTACCTGGCCAACAACAACACTCAGGACTGCGAGTACTGCGCCTACAAGATCGGCGACGAGTTCTACACGCCCCTCGGCCTGGCGTTCGACAACCGCTGGAGGGACCTGGGCATCTTCATCGCGTTTGTGGGAAGCAACCTGATCATTTTGTTTGCTGCTGTAAGTTGATAATAACTAAACCTCTCTGCCGAATAATTACTAACACCCCCATCAGAGCAAGTTCTTGAACTTCAACCGCAGATAAACCCCCCTTCCTCCACCAACCCGAACATTATTTTCCTTTTTCGTATGTTGCATGGGAATGAAACGCGCACGTTGACATGCACGTTCTTCCATCTGCCACACAAACGTTTTCTTGTGAGGCAAAACCACTGGCATTTGCAGATACCATCAAATTGGAGTCTTGGGCGAATTAAAAGAGAAAGAGAGAATGTTTTTTGTTTTTGACGAGAAGATGGGAAAGACAAGAAGAAGATTAGAGAACGCCTTCATTGCGCGCGCAGCATGGCCTTGCATGGGAACACCACGCCTTTTCCCCTAACCTGTCTGGTACCTTTGAGTGCCAACCATCATCACAGCATAGAACTTTTACGTAATTTAATAGATGTGGAGAGATTGTATGAACCCGAGGATGGCTTCATGTTTGAGATCGTCGGCCTGCAAGTCCATCAAAGCATGATCATCATGTGCAAGTAGGCGTTTTTCCTAGTAGTTCACAACTGTCTGCCAATTATTCTGTCCGGCGTGAGAAGGGCAAGGCTAAAACGCAGGTCTCTTCCTATCCAGCAGCACCTTCGAACTCCTGGTCGCTGAGACAAGAAAGACGTCGCGAATCGGAGATTGAATGTGTAAGACGTTCTCAATGAACTTTTGTTCGTTCGGTCTTGCCCATCCTCTCGGGCATTTACTTTCACGGGAGTATACTAGGACGAAAGCTCGTCATACCAGGGGAGAAGGTCTTGTCATCTACACAGGTACATGAGCATACATGGTCATCATTGTAATCATCGAAATTTGTAACCGTCGTCGGTGCAATCTCAACGATATGACGCGTTTCGGCCAGTAGAAGAATGGTGTTGCATTGGCAGGCCATTTAAAGGTGGACTGAGACTTTTCAAGGGAGAGATTGTGTGTGCTAGCACACCGTTCCTCTGCGAGATGCCACTTTCAGTTGTAAGGTCCAGCCCATACTCTATATCCAGTACAAGTGATGGGTAAATACTTTGTTTGGGTGCTCGATCTGCGTCGCTGGCTCGGGTTCGATGATATCAAACGCAATTTATCAAGTTGTTCCTGCGCTAAATGGATCCTCCAACGCTGCCATCACTAGCAGCTGGAAGCCTCGGGTGGGCAAACCGCCTCGGATCAGTGCGATATCACTGTTGCTTGTGACTGTCCAGCATTGAATGCCCCGGCTTACATTCCTCGCCTATTAAGCGAGGACTTTCTAGCGTTGAGCGTTTCCACACATATGACGTCGAGATTCCAAAACATAACAGCAAGCTCTGCTCATGAAGACAGCCACTTTGTCCGTCATCATTGGTGTGCTCCTACTATTCGACGTGCGATCAGACAGCAAGATAACGAGACGACATATTGGAGGGGCGTGCTTTTTCGCGTTAGCCATTGCTCATTCTCGGCTGATGGGGGCTCGGGAAGGGATGCTGGTGTCAAATTACCAGTTGATAGAGCAGCAGCCGGTGGACGGCATTTCGTCTTCGTGTGGCTTTTCACAAACCTCGTCCGGAGGATAGCTCCGGCGAGACAGACTACCAGTGCCGTTTAGGGGTATCGGCAGATCTAGTGTTCCCTAAGCCCTCGTAAGAAAGAGGCGTCTCAGCCCGCGGCCGTCTGATTCGAAATATTTGCATTAGGATAAAGGCACATAGCAAATTCAACGTCCTACCGACGTCTTTGCACATATGCTCAGCAACCTCGCGCAAAATTTACTGCTCCAAAACGACTCCCACGCTTCCTTGCACAGCTCTTCGCGGATATGCTACAGCTAGTCTCTGAGCGCCACTGGCTCTTAACCCTCGAGCAGAATCCTCCCGTCCACGACACCTTTCCATCCCTTGATGGGTGGTGCCTCGATGTACTCGTGGTCCAGCGGACACTGCGGCATATACCAGGGTCTACTTAAACTTTGTTGATCATCTTGGCCTCTCATCTTGTAGCAGTCATCGCAAAGGAAACATTCAGAACAGACGAGACAGAGGTAGGAGACGCGTCTCTTGCCCAGGAGGCGAACTTGGCCGTGGGCATACAGCCTCCGTCGCAGAACAACACGACATCGTCATCGAGGTCGCCTTCCTCGCCCTTGGGTCGCGTCGCAGAATCCCCCTCGCCGCCGCCGTCGGAACCGTCGTCACTACGTTGTTCTTCTTCACCATATCGCTCGTTATCGTCCTTCATGTTGGGGTCTAGGCGGGACATTTGCGCGGACAGCAGAATCTGCGCTGCCCTCTTAAGCCTCTGCCCTTCCTTGGCGGTGTCCAGTGTGGCTTTGGGCCCCGTCACGGCGTACTCGCGCCTTCGAGGTCTCTTGTCACTTTGATGTGGATAAAGCCGAGCTCGACGAGTAAGGGGCCGGACGCGTTGACGTTTTCCAGCAGCCTAATCGAGTCCTGGTACATCTGGACGACAAAGGCCACCTCTCCGGACTCGACTGCCGCACGAATCACGGCCTGGTAGACCGAGTCCCAGGTGTCCCAGCAGAGGTAGGCCAGCCGTTCAAGCGGGGACCATGACTTAAGCGTCCTGATGAACTCCTGCTTGCCAGGTTCTTTCTCGAAGAGCTTTATCTGGGCTCGCAGGCCGTCGCCCGTCACGAGATTGCTTGGGTCAATTGATCCCGCCAACTCGTACGATGCAGCAGCGTCCTGACGCCTCCCGAGCTTGGTTTCGATCTGAGCCTTGGTGTTGTAGACCGAGTGACGCAGCGGGACCGGGACCGACTCGTCGTGTGTTTGACGTAGGCAAGCCTGGATGTCTTCGTAGGCCGCTTGCGGATTGTCTATGGTACGAACTCGAGAGAGTAGCTCGAGTGACTGTACGCGCTCGAATGGCGTTTGTGAATAAGTCATGGCCTTGAGACAGGCACTCTCCGCAGGTTGAACCTGTTTGTACAGGAACTGAAGGGCCGCAAGCCAGTGATGGCCATCGGAGCCCAGCTCGACATCTTCAAGGAGACCATCAAGACCGAGCACTACCTGTTTGGCCGACAGAGCCCCCGAAACGTCGCCAACCGCCGAGGCGAAATTTTCTCTCGCCTGTTCCTCAAGAATCGTTCCTTTGCCGCAGCACAAACATTTAGCATCATTCTAGAAGGGATCTTTATCAAAACTCACGATCCTCAAAGCGCCATTGGCTGCTGAGAATGAGGCTTCGGCCGTGTTCATATCGACCGCATCCTGGAGCCTGCGGACATGCAACTTGGCATGCTGGAGCAGGCAGTCTCTTGAGGCGTTCAACAAGGAGAGTCCACCACTCGGCAGCCTCCGCACTGAGAGGCACCTTCACGTCAAGAAGAAAGGCAGCCCATGAGCGGAATCTATCAAAGAATGGGTCGTCGAATTTCTCATCGTTGCAGAAGGTGATCTTCAGCTCCTCCTGAATCCTCGCGAACGAGCTCTTGTTCAGTATTAGCGAAGCGAACTTTTGCATCACTTCAGTCTGTTGCTCGACTTTCAAGTGTTCTGCTTTGATGTCGCGCCAGTGGTGAAGGACGTAGTTGACCGCGTACTCCCGAACACCTGTATCGGTACCCATGATGCCGGGGTGCTCTGGCTGGATGAAGTTACAACAGGTGAGAAACATTTGTCTGTGTGCTTCCGATCTTTGTGGGCGGTGGCCATCGTTGGGCGCAACAGGCTCTTCCCGGAAGAATACGCGCATAGAGCGTTCTCATAACTTGATGGGAAGTCTTCCGTCTTGGTAGAGGTCGCTCGACTGGGACGCCTTGTGGGTCTTTTCCAGCTCGTCTATGGCGGTGCCCCAGCCCCGATGCGACTGGACCTTTGCTCGTGTCTCGGCGCCTGAGCCCGGATCGCCAATCCGAAGAATCTTTGCAAAAGGCTCCGGTATTTCTTCAAGATCAAAGTCATTCTCGTTCGACCAGAGTCGCAGCAGAGACAGGCCTTCGTTGAAGTTCATGAGCCTGAGCGAAGACGCAATCCATTGCAAGAGCTTGGGTACAAGCTCACGACGACTGGATTCGGTCCGACGGAAGCACACTGCCGTGGTCACTTTGTACAGCTGGTAGAGGGTGCGGGAGAGAGATTTCTCGAGACTGCGCAGGACGGCGCCTTCGCGTTCAAGAGTGTTGAGTCCTGCTAGCAAGTGTTCGGCATGGAGTATGTACATTCGCAAATCATTAACTCTGACATACCGAAGAATGAGGGACGAGGGTCGGAAGATCTGATCTTAATACGTACAATCTCCTCTGTCTTGTCTGCAATACGCTGCTGAACGTAGAGGCTGAACTTTTTAAGAGTGCTTAGGGAGTTTATGCGAGCCCAGATGATGGTTCTCAGGTCGTCCATCTGCTTCTCCCTCGCGATTCCAATCTTCAAAGGGGGTTTCGAGAATGACTCCTGAACTTTGATGTCAGATCTGGCTGTATACGCCAACGAGATCCTCAAAGCGTTTTCTTCGATAGTCTTGCTGAACCGCTCAAAGAGGGCAAAGTCGTCGTCAACAATCTCATCGATGCCATCAAACATCAAGAACAAGCGGCCCTTTGAATCTTTGCCAAACGCCTAGGAGCTTGCGTAAGAGGTCATCGGAGCTTCCTTGGTTGATATGAGACTTATGGCGGACGATGTCTGCGTACATGGCCTCGCAAAGCTCTATGCTCTGCTCAACGACTTGATGGATGACGCCGATGACACCGTTGGGGAAGGACGAGAGGCTTTCGTTCTGCTCGCGAAAGTAGAACTGAGCCACGCACGTTCGCTTCGACGAGTCTCTGGCCGCCTTCTCGCCTCTCAGGGCTTGGTAGACGGAGAACGCGAGATGGCACTTGCTCGTACCGGGGCTTCCAGTGATGGCGAGGACGGTATTCGGCAAATCTTGCTGGTTCAGCCACCTTTCCCACTCAGGCTCCCGAAACACCCAGACACACGTGTCGGGCACTATCGTCTCCTGTAACACGTGATACTCGTGGTCCGCGTCTTCGACTTTCGTCAGGGTGTTTCGGATGCGCTTCGCCGATCGATGCTTGCCGTGCTCCGCAGCAGAGGACTTGCCCTTCTGTTCGCCGCTGCCGCGTGGTTTGCTCTGCTCCCGCTTCTTGTCGTCAAATGTCCTGATGAGTTTCGCCATGTCGTCGAGGAAGCTCTCGGTCGTGTCCCAGACGACTCTCATGACCTGCATCTGCTCCTCGAGCATCGCCATCTGGAAGTGATGGTTCTCGAGCAACTCCTAGGTCACCGTCTGGATCCCTTCGATGTTGCCCAGGATGGCGAACTCGGTCGCCTCTCGAAGGCGTCGGATCCGCAGATCCATCTTCTTTCGAGCCCCTCAAGCTCGTTATCTTCACCTTGAATTAAAATGCTGATCCACTTTCTGTTTACGTCAACACAGACATCGCAGCCGGTTGTTAGATTGGAGGCATTCGATCTTCCTAAAGTGACCGAGTTCGATATACTTGCGTGCAAAGCCGCACGTGGTGAGAAATGACATAAAGGTGTCCATCGAACAGTTCTGGTGTGTGTTGTAATTTGGAAGCCTGGTCTCCAGGATGATGATGCGCTGCAGGAAGCTGTTCACATCCTCGAAGAAGACCATCACAAAATCATAATCTGCCGAGACATTTCGACACGCCTCTGATTCCTGTTTAAGCTTGTTTCAACACACGAAATGACGTTTCTCTACTTACGCTCAGCACGAAGGTAACGGCGGTGCCAATTGCCGCGGCCGGCGGGAAGGCCGACACGACGGCCGCGACGAGCTGTTGTGTCCCCTTCTCGATGTAGTTCAGGTTTTCCCAGAAGAGCCCGCGCAACCTGTCGACCTTCTTGTCGTCGTGTCGAAACTTATGGAAGTTCTGCATCTCCTTGGGGCCCTGGGTGATCACGGCCTCTAAGTTCTCGAACTTGCGCTCCAGGTCGAAACCCATAATGCCCTTGTAAGTCTTCAGAGCATCTTTGCACAGATCCGCGGCATCGCGATTGTTGACGGCCATGTCGTCCGCGACTCTCTGAGCTGTGATGGGAGCCATGATTGATGCGTCTGCTTGTGAGTTGAGCGGTCGCCGAGGACGAGATGATACGCCCTTTCACGGAGGAGGGCGGGCTGAGTATTTGGATGTTGCCGTCAGCATCAGGTTTTAAAGCGTGATGGCGAGGTGAGCAGTCGGTGATCTGGTTCGCCTGTGGGCGACTGAAATGCAGCAGCCTTGATGTTGCCAATCTTAGCCTATTGATAGATTAGTTGGGAACGCGTGGTGTCAGCAAATACGCAGCTCATTGCTGACGTGTAGATCCAGCTGAAGCGTGTTAGTGCTCGGTGCTTAATTATCTCGCTCGAGTCACACTACTCGGAGAGAGGTCCAGGGAGTTAAGGATAATCGCGTCAAGAACGATGTCAGGCGTCACGCGATGCTTACGCTGCGTCTACGATGACCCGTTCTCGGCAGGAGAACAGTCCATCTTGCCTGCGTGACAACCTGACGATCGATGCAGATGGAGTAAGGCTGGACCTTGAGCACAACCGGTTGCATACGGTGACCTGAACGACAGCTTCGGCATACGCCTGGCGACCAATAGAGGCGGAAATTCTCCTGAAGTCAAATCTTTCATAAAATTGGATTTATTCCCATCGATCTACAGGAACTAGTGACTTCCCCCCGACCTCCAACAAGCTTGTGTTCAGGCTGCGTGCTGGGGTATATTCTAAGAAGAGCAGCATTGCCACTAGGAGGCCATGTAAGCCAATGACGAGAAACAAGGACGGCATTTGTACATGTACTTACTTCCTGGTATCCTTTGCAATCGAACTTGTTATTGCCCAGGCCTGTGGCGCTTAGCATAGTGTTCTTCTTTACGACGAGAGTTTTGAGATCGGTTCTCATATCGCAACTCATAGCAGGGCCTCCGTCAATAGAGCAGGTCCCAGTCATAGTAGCAGTCCATGTGTTCTCGTTTAATGAACATACAGTCTGTCGGGCTTCAAGCTGCTCAGTGGGTAGCCCCAGGGCAGGCTGGGCCATCGCAGCTACAGTGGCGAGAATAATAGAAAGAGAAAGCATTGTATAAGATGTGTCGCGTCAACTAGAGACGGTCGGGTGAGGTATACGGTTCATCCATAGAGATGGCGAGACATAGTCACTCCTTTAATAGTCTTTGTAAGGTATCTTGCGGGCTGTCTGTAGTTGCAAATGGAGCCGCCGGAGTTGCAAGCAGGCGTTGACTGCGAGTCATGAGAAACCTTATTCAGATTCAGATTTATTCGAGGCGGAGTGGGCGGTAATTATAGAAAGTTTCAGTGTGATAAGTTGGGTAGTTCTTAGAACCGGGAGAATCCTGACTCAGAAGCCAATCTCGTGACCGGCAGTGTCGGAAGCTCGAATTGTGCGCCTTAGCCAAGGCCTCCACTGCATAATCAGCATACGTTCTGTGAGCTGAAGTGATTTTCAATTCTGGCGAGATGGGAGAGAGGACAGAATGGGCTGGGTTGGGCTCAGGGAGGGCTTCAGAGGGTTTCGGAAGTCTTCAGAGGGCTTTGCAAAAATTCCAGAGGACTTTAGAAGGGTTGGCGGGGGCTTTAGGGAGCTACAGAAGGCAGGGTGGAGTGGGTTAGAGGGCTCCCGGGCTTCAGAGGGCACCGGGGGGAATGAAAAAGTCTGAGCTCACCTCAATTTTCGAGGGCACCTGAATTGTTGATTTCGGAGGAAGGGATCGACGTCACCGGGCATTTTGACGCCCCGAAGCCCGAAAGAAGCAATTTGAGAGGGTTTGAACGAGTTTGAGGGTTTCTTGGCGTCTTTCATGTTCGTCGCATGTGTCTGCGCCACGTCATTAAGGTTTGCCATTGTCGCATTCCCCTTGACGAGACAGAAGTCAGGCCCGCCGTGGAGCTGAATTTCACACGCGAGCGCCTCAATTCAGACGGAACCTGGAACCGTCGGATGGGCTGCGCGAGCGGGACGGGCCGTGCCGCACCTTCCCAACTAGGGTCCCCCCCACAGTGCACCTCAATGGCAACGTCTTCAGCGCATCTAGGTAAGGTAGTGTTGGAGACGACCCTCAGAGGGCAGCCTAGTCGCCGGACTGACTGCCGCTATCGCTGGCAGGAGGTGACGCGTGCGGCCTGGCGCGCTGAAGTCGGGCCAAAGCTGAAGGGAATTGAGTCGCTTCCGTTGAACACCGAGACCGACCTCGACCGATTTTTCGCCGAGGCAGACAAGATTCTCCAAAATGGGAGAGACAAGCTATCGGCCCATCGCCCTGCTCTGCCCCATAGCCAAGATTTTGGAAAAGCTGTTCGCAGTCAGACTCACGCGTTGGCTGCTGAACTCCGGCGTACTTCCCTTCGAACAGTATGGGTGCCAAGGGAGAAACACCAACCAAGCTCTCGAGTCACTCATCAACGCTGCTTACAACAGCTGGACTGATGGCGACAAGGATCGCCATGTGTCCATTTACGCCCTTGACATCAAGGGCGCGTTCGACCGCGTTCGCCGTGCGCACTTGCTACGGATCCTGAGGGAGCATGGCGTTCCGGACTGGATGATCATGTTTGTCTGGTCGTTTTTGTCCGACCGAAGCACAACCGTCCGCATGCAGGGAGCAGTGTCGAAGAAGTTTTGGGTTAACATCGGCATCCCGCAAGGAAGCCCTCTGTCCCCCATTCTCTTTCTCTTCTTCTCGATCTCTCTGCTCAACAAGCTCATAAGGGATAAAGGATTGGTCTCTAACGAAAACGCTGTTCTGTACCAACTGAAGCGTTTTCTGATTGCCGCATTTGTTGACGATATCAGCTTCTTAATCGTCTCCGACTCCGTCGAGAAGAACAACAAGGCCGCAGAAAAGTTGTACAACGCCTTGGTTGACTTTGCAAAAAAGGATGGCACCACATTCTCCGCTGATAAGACAAAAGTGATACACCTCTGCATGGCAAGGCAGAAGTTCAACGACAGCATGCCTAACATCAAAGATGCTCCTCCGAAGGCAGAAAAGGCCATCAAGATTCTCGGGCTCTGGCTGGACTATCGTCTGACATGGGAAACGCACGTGACAAAGGTAAGCGAGCCTGCCGATGAGCACCGTCTGTCTTGAGACTGACCCTGCCTCGAAAGATTGTGAACAAGGCCCGGCTGAAAATGTTCAACCTACGTCGCATTGCTGGGTCAACTTTTGGCCCAGGACTCAAGAAGCTTCTGGACAGATACACTAGCGCCATTCTCCCCATCATCAGCTACGCATGTCCTGTTTGGTTCGCGGGGTATGACGAGAGGAAGTACACCGAATCTGGGAAACCGCCGGGTGGCAGGTGCCGGCTCTCGATCAGTGCCAAGCTTGTCAACGGGCTCGAGAGCGAGCACAGCTACTTCTTGAAGCAACTGTCTGGGGCTTATGCCATGACCACCGGCTTCATCCTCCTCAAGGAGCTCGCAGTGCCAACGATTGCTGTTTTCCTCACCAGGCTTGTGCGAACCTACTGGGCTCAGGTCCTGGAGACGCGGTACGGGGGCAAGTTGCTGAAGCCCAGTGTGGCTTACCCGGACCAACACCCTTATGTGCTTGCCGCAACTGATGCCTGCAGCAAGGTTTTGCAACCGGCAAAAGACCGGCTCGGGCTGAAAAAGCCGGTCGACGAGGGTGCCAGGTACAGGAAGCTCAGACGAGTCATCAAGTCCATTGCAGACGACCTCGTCACAGACCAGATGCAGACGGATTGGGTCGTGTTTGTCGACGTACGCAGCTGCGAGAATCGGTACTTCAACAAGCTCCCTCCAGCCCTCGGAGGGACGTGGGGGAGACACAACTTCAAGATCTACGAAGACTTGCTCAAGGCTCAGAGCACTATCCTGCTGCATTGCCGGACGGGTGTCAATGGCCTCAACGCATGCTTGAATTTCATGCCTTTCAAGGTACGTGCTGTGCTTCCTTCCTCCCTTCTCTCTCGCCCCCTCCCCCCTCCCCTTTTGTCTCTCCCCCTCTTCCCTCCAATGTCCCCCCGCCTCTTCTTAATTCCCTCACTACCTGGCTCTCCACCCTCGATCCATCCACATCCATCTGCGGGGGTATACGAGACTGTGGAAATCTGTTCACACCGCTGAGGGCACCGCTCCACGGCTTGCACCCTTCTCCCGCACCCCCTGTCTCTCTCACACACACCTCTTCCACTGGCCTTTATCACACGCCTCTACCGCTGTCCCGCTCGCCACGCCTCTGGCGCCATTCTTTGTGGGCACATGCTGTCACAAGTGTCTTGCACAGCCGATGAGCCCACACAGGTACCGTGGCCCTGGCGGGACAAGTTAAAAGTTTTCACCGCGGTTCGGCGTTGCCAGTCAGCTTTCTGTCTGCTCGACCGTTCTCAAGCCCAAGTCCTGTCGCCAAAACTCGACTGACTCACACATCTCAGCTGGCCCCCAAGCTCTGCCTGCCCCTGCGGAGCCCGTCCTCACGACGCCAGGCACCTCTTCATGGAATGTCCCTTGTTGGCCGCCCCGAGGAAGCATCTGAAGGCCGCCGTGCATGTCTTCTGTTTCCAGGTCCTGGTCACCGACTACCCCAAGCTGGCTGCCGACTTCGCGATCCGATACTTTTCGCTCGAGCAGTTCGCATGGACGGCAAAACACCTCGCGAACTCTGACTTTGGCAACCTGCCAACGGGGGGTTCTTACGCTGGGGCTGGGGGAACAGCATCGCTGTCCATCAGGCCGAAAGCTAGATAGAGTAGACAGCTTCCATCAATTCAAATGTTTCAACCGCAGGCCTCTGGCCCTTCACTGTGATTTTTACCTGCTTAGAGCGACAGACCTCCCAACTCCGCGCCTCCTGACAATACACAAAGCCTTCGGTCACGTGATCGTAAGTAAGTCTTCCCCCTTCCGATTATTGAATCATCTTGACGTTCGAGTTGGACCAGCCTGACGACCTCCCAAGTCTCCGACCACGTCCGTTCGTCCTACCCATCGCCTCAGCAACGAGAAGCTGGCTGACCATTTCTTTCTCACGCAGCTCTCCCAACTTCAGCCGCACTTACATGTGCACGTCAGTCAGCGCGTTCTCTCCTTGCTCTCCGCGTTTCGTTCCACCGTGCTGACCCGTCTCCAAGCACCAGACAGCCTCACGATCTTCAACTTCACTTCGGCAACGATGTGGTTTGTGATTACTCAATTACTGGTGCGTCGACCGTTTGCCTCGCTCCGAAGGAACGTCTCCCTGCTGACACTTTCATAAGCAGACTACTGAACTGTCGACCTATCCTCTCTCTCGCGCATCGCCCGCGCCGCCGTCAGCGAGCCCACCTTCGGCGCACAGCCTGCCGACCGTACCGCTGACGATCGATCAGAACACCGTCTCCATCACTGCTTCGCCGTCCGCCATGTAAGTCGGGACACACTCCTTTCGTCATGGCTGCATCACTGAGCTCTGCTTACCAGAGTGGCTTCTTTGGAAGCAAGTCGTCACTGTCGTTGGCGAGCAGCGCCCCATGCGTCGGCCGTCTGGTACTTTGTTGACTTGAGTGGTTCAAGCAGTCTTCTTGTTCGATCGGGCCGGCTGACGTCTTCGGTATGCCTTGCGTCGTCCGCGTAGAAAGTGGTACGCTAAGCTGACAAGCCCAGCAGCGGCTGTGCCGTCGTCAGCAACGCTCTCTCTGTGTAAGTGAGTCACGATTCTCAATCTTAGAGGCGAGTTTGACTAACAGTTTCACAAGCAGTCGGCGCAAGGCGCACTCCCCGTGTTCGTATGTTGCTTCACTTTTACTAGTATTCAAAGCTAGCTCACAGTCTAGGAGCTCTACGCGAGGCTTGCGTCCTCTTTGGCACCCTTGAGTGCCTCGGAGAAGAAGTCCCACTCGTTAGGGTGGCTAAGGACATGATTGAACTCCGCGTCAATGTTGTCCAAGGCTTTCTTAGCGAGAGGGATAACGTCGCTGCCCATAGGGGCTTCTAGGAGGCTTATCGACAGAGCCATCAGGACGATACGTGAGTAGAAACATGATATATCATTCATGTATATGCTGATTGATGTCTCTGTAGACTTTTGGTCTTCTTCGGATTGTTCTTCGGATGGGAGCTTCTCGTTAAGCGTGCCGAGGTTGAACTTGTTCCAGATGCGTCGCGCGTTGTTCACAGAGACAAGGGCGCCGCCTGGCTTGGTTTGTGATATGACTTCCGTAAGTTCATCAGCTATCTAACATTTTATCTCAGCGCTCGGCGAACTTGAGTGCTTTGCGTGGTGCGGACATCGTGAAGGTATGCTTTCTCTGGAATCTTATGGGTCTTACTAATTAAAGATGCTTTAGGATTTGTTGTGGGTTGTAGGTATGCCCTGTGCTTCGTGTGATGCTCCTCAGTTCACACTCCTTCTCAGATGAGGACAGGTTGTTAACATAGGTTTGAGGGTGAGGAAGAGGAAGAGGGAAGGGCATGAGGCCCTGCGCACAGGTATTGCATCAATCTCTATACTTCTTGCTCATTGCTAATGTGTTCTCTAAGCAGCAGAATTTTTATGCTTCTGGCCGTGAGAACCTCTTCTGACGACCTCTTTGGTTGAGGAGTCATATCTCGTGTGGTGGCGTTGTGAGTCAAAGTTCCTTCTGCATCTTAGACCTAGGCTGATCCGAGTCAGCGCAGCACCTCGCTGGAAGGTTCAACGAAGCTGTCGTCAGTTGGTTTCAGCCAATTCGAAGTCACGAGCGTATGCTAATTTCTGCCAGGCCAGGCCATGAGAGCCTCAGTGACCTGTTCGGCCCCGATGTGATCGGCCCCGCTACGTGCGGCGCCGCCGCCGCTGGCCCCACGCCGCGCGGCCGGCGCCGTTGCTGTTCCGCCGGTCTATTCGGCCAGGGCGCGCGTTCGACTTTGTGCGGTAAGATCGTTGTTTCTTGGTATACCTGAGTCTAACTAGAACTGTAGGTGATGTTCAGAGGGTTTGCCTGCCAGCAGGAACGTATGGGGTTTCTGTACTGTTTTCCTTAATTGGTAGAGGGCACAGGTCAAAGTGCCTATATAGTGTTTCCAGAATTGTGCCCGCGTATAGGGTGAATTCTGCCGTAGTCTTTTTGCGGGGGGGCTGCGTCGTAACTACAAACTCAATAAAAGCGTTTGACCCGCTAAGAAATGCCTCCCTCCTGTGTGTGAATGATGTCTTGCCTCAAACCATGTTTCCTGCCTGGCCTCAAGATCCACAGGCCGCACCTTGGGGAGAAATTGAGAGTAGGTGTCGAGTAGAGCGTCTGGCTTACGACCTGGCCGGAGCCCGTGAGTCACCCTGGAGATAGCTGTGACCAATGACTCCTTGTTTGGATGGCGAGGGCGGAACCTTGAGGATTTCTGACCATTCAGGCCACGCCGGAAAGTTCGCGCCGTCTCCACTGTAGGTACAGCAGCAGCCGGAAACAGGACAGTCAATGTGTGTCCGACGCCCATTCCTATATATAAGCTTGGTGCCTTTCTTCAGTCGAGCTTAGCCCCCAATCCTCACCTCTCCTGTCGTCCACCAACTGCATCATTTTCATCACCGCTAAATCCTTTCCCAACACTTCTCTACCATCTATCGTTATGGTTCATATATTTGATATTCCGCGCGAGGTGCGGGATCTGATTTATCTTCAATGCGTTGTGTCTGAAGGCGGCTACATCTTGGACTTCAACAGCAACAGGCTGAGATGTGCAGACGGCAAGCGTATTGACCTGGCGTTCATGCTCACTTGCAAGAAGATTGCAAATGAAACCAGGGGACTGGCACTTTCATCGAACATTCTGAACTTCGTAGCAGTCTGCCCCAGTGAGCAGGAGCATCGTGCGGTAGCTGGTCGCTTCGGTCTAGCCCTGACAACGCTCAGTCAGAGGCGAAGCCACAAGCTGCACCAGATCTACCCGGATACCCTGAACATCCCCGATGACATATGGAGGGATATCTCGGAAATCGAACCGAAGCTAGCCCCATACGTCGAACTCCTTCAGCACAGGCCCAATGGCTGGCGCGTTATGGATGGCGCAAGCCACATGATGCCAACTATCATTGAGAGACCAGAGATTGGCTGGCCTGGAACCTGTGGAGAGACGCCGTCAGTCTTCCGCAAATTTGCTCGTTCTGCGCTACAAGTACTTTTGGCGAATAAGGATCGATTCGAACCGGAAGAGTTCCGTCAATTTGAGAAGGGGATGCTCCGCTGGCATGAGACCGAGCTTGCAGGCATCGTCGGCGTCAACCCTGATGCATGGGAGATCCCGACAACACAAAGTCTTGACCGGTACTTGCGCGGTATGTGTCCCGTCACTGCTGCAGAAATCTCAGAACAATGGGAAACTCCTAACCAAGGGTTCGATCAAAGGCTTGTCAAACATCACTACTCAGCTGCGGCTGCTGCCGTACGATTTTTGCGCTCTTTGCGTAGGGACTCTCGGCTAAGCATACGAAAAATCATTCTCAACGAAGATCGAGCAGCTGTTGCATTCCCTGAAGCGCACGGCCTGGGTCTTATTCCACACTGCCAGGAAAACCCGCGCCTTCGCGTGGAACGCCGCGTCAGTATGTGGAGGACAGTCTTCCGGACTCAGTTCGATGGTCGTAACATTCAGGTGAGGCCGTACGACTCCAACGATGGCGTTTGGGCGGACTCGGTGTCTCGTCCTGTGGCACTCTGGATCCTGGAAGCCCTGGAACTCGAACCCGCCGGAATGCCGCCTGGCGCCTTCACGTTAACCTTCGAGGGAGACCAAAAGTGCTCGGAGATTTTCCGCACAGTCGTACAACGCGACGCTGCATGGCAAGCCGCAGTCGACCTATCTCTGGAAAGGCAGATTCTCCCTCCACTGTCGTGGGTTGCGAGGAGACGAGACGGATGGGCTCATCACACGGCAAGGGACAGCAAGTGGCACGTTCTTGAAGGCTTCCCTCAAGCGGTGCAAGACATTGTGGCGGGTAAATCTATCGTCAAGTGCAACTTCGATATGGGCGAGATATGGGATGTGGAGAAACTAGTTGAAGACAGGAAAGACTGGACAATGAGTGATTGGGACCAACGCTGGAAACGGGGGTTCCACGTACGTTTCGACCCCGATCCGCCATCGCCCAAATATCTACAGCTCCTGTGCGACAACGCATTCGATACGAACGTCCCAATAGACCCTGCTGCTTTTTAGAGACCAAGGAGCTGGGTGTGCCGGGGTTATTGCGACGATTTGAACACGCTCAGGTGTTTTCGACACATCTATTCACTATACGAGAAGAGAAAGATATTATTAGGTTCTTTGAGTAGGTACTAATAGAAACCACGTTAAAAACCAGTGTGCATTTCCAACCGCTGTCTCGTCAAGGTTACAAAGCCGGGTTCCAAAATCTTGAAGGTTTGTCCATGGAGTCTTCGACAGGTGCAATTGATCTGAAGATTCGCCCTCTTTCCGTAACTCGTTATGAGGCGCGCAGTGTCCTTCACTCGATGGAATGGACGAAACGTGACAAACGCGGTCTGGATGTGGGCCCTTAGCCTACACGATAGCGAGGTCTCTTCTCACGCACTTTGCAGCGTCCGTCTATCGAGAGGTAGAAGAACGGAAATAGAGTTGCGGATTGATTGGGGGAATGGGTCGTAGGATGTCAGCTTACGATGGACTCTTTTCTAGCAACACCCAAGTCTTGCCAACCCCAGGCAAATTGATGATAGTCTAGACTTTATTAGCTGTTGAATCCTGAGATGCTTAATCCTGAGATGCTTAATCCTGAGATGCTTAATCCTGAGTGCTTGTCGACTTGACGAAATCGCGGGCCAGAGGAGGAATCGTCCGCACCAGCCTCAAGGCTCGCTTCCAAGAGCAGACTTTTCGAGGCCCAAACCCCTTGCGGTATTGAAGATTGGTCAGGTCCTTATTCTGGTTATCAATCATATTTAAAGAATGTAGCCTTTGCGCCCGTGACGACTTGTCTAGCCAAGCTATGTCTGAGCTGTCGCCCTTCTTTCTCATGGGCCTGTCTAGACGTTGATTTGGGAGCCCCAAAGAAGCCCCAAAGATGGGTGAAAATAAAGATGGCTAAAAAAGCGCAGAACCATTATGACACTTCGGCCCCATCTTCTCAAGTATGTAGTGGTATATGTCATTGATCCAAAGGTTGGAATTTCAACGGCTGGGTCGAAACGCGGCAGGCCTCAGGAATTCGATGCAAAATTGCAACGAGTCCACCTCAGGACGAGTACTGTGATGAGCCGCTGGGGAAAGAGAAGGCGGAGCATTAAAGCATGAGAGATCTGTTTTTGGTTGCAAGCTGAAAGAATCCCTAGCATGGGCACCGCAACTTGGTGGACGATGATTTCGCAAGCGTCCGAGCGTGTGGCTCAACAGTCTGAGCAGCAAGGATTCGATTACGCGGTTTCAACAGACCTTGAATAGGCATCCGAGGAGCTTCAAGCTGCAAACCACGAGTAAAGAATAAAGTGCTCTTTCACACGCAGAGATGCTGATACTCAATTGAACAACCCCAGCGCCGTGACGTATGGGACGACCCCGCCGTCGGAAACCCGCCGCCGGCAGCACGGACCCGCATCGGGCGACTGTCCTCCGCGACCCCGCCGTCTCCGGCATCCTGTCACCCCCTTGCATGACAGTGACATATCGAGGCCGGTTTCCAGCGCCCCGAAGCGTCCCGGCATTTTAACCTCACCCTGCCGTCAACTTGATCTTTCATCCAAGGCTTCGCTTTGCACTTCACACGTTTCTCTGCTTCACCAAGGCACTTGATTTAGCGGGATCCTTGCAATCAACCCACTCTCACAATGGGCGACCCCACGCCCCGCGACCAGCTCTCGAAGCGGGCAATCCCCTTCATGACCCTTGCCAACGGCCTGGAAGGTCTTCCCGGCGCAGAAACTCGCACAGCATCCGTCTCTGACGACGCCATCTCCCGCTTCGCCCTCCCCGGCACAGCAGTCGTCACGGGCGGCACCGGTGCCA